AGATCATAACACACAAGAAAAAAACAACATATTTTAACCAAAATATACGTGACAGCACATAGAGCAAATGCCAAAGGTTTTTTTATTTAATTTTTCATGAAACTAAACAAAAACACAAAAAAAACTAAATGACTACCCATATTCTTGCTACTTTACTATAACTTGGTACATACATTTGTGGCGTTGATGCACGTCATATTGTTTTTCAATTTTATTTTGCTCAATATTTATCTACCCCACAACGGACTGTGATCTTACACACTATCAACTTCAGACTTCCACCTGTGACCTTTGATGGCGCACTTTGTTGCAGAGATAGTCTCGGTACATCGTCGTCGACATTTGGGTATACACTTACCGCTGACCGCTTACGAGGGTTAAACCCTTCAGCCCTACGTTTCCAGTCCATGCCTTTAAGTTCCCTTGATTCCTACGCTTTCAGAGTTTTTGATAAAATAACGGGTTTATGAAAGTAAAAGACCAAAACACGATCTTCATTATTTTCAAGGAATCCGCCATGTTTCATATTCTCAAAACATGACCACCTAAGTTGACAGTTATAAGACATTATTTAGGATAAATATTGTGTATCAGCAATAAATATTTTTCCTCGGGTTAATTACTAATGTTGACGCTTTACTGGTACACAAGTAGTAATTGTCATTGCCTTGATAACGTGTGAAACATGTAGCTAAACGATTACTCCGTTAATTTGCCACCATGCTAAGTGGTCTAATCGTCCCGCCTTGACACACATGCGCATTTCGAACAAGTCATGTCATGCCAAATATAAGCAAATCGTGAAGTCATTTGTGGAAAAAAATACTTTTTATTCGCCCAAAGAATATTTTTACAACATCAGAACTTCGGATAGACTTTCAGGAAGTCCTTGAATCGTGCAGAAGTGATATTCCCCGAGAAATGGACTCCTCTCCCAGTTCGTCTCTGAGCGCAACCGAAGCAACGCAAGTCCTGAAAGACATCTTGAATGTGGGGAAGGCCCTCGATCTATCTTCAGGTAAAACCGTCATGCATTACGGGTTTCGGTTATAATTTTCGGATTTTGGACTTATGCGATCACGTCATACAACTAATGGTGATGGGGTCGAACGGGATATTATGATACCACTCCTATACCTTTTAAGTAGCTTTACGAAGCTCGTGAGATACGTAAAACCAGACCAACTTGAAGGTAAATGTCAATTTTTAAGGCATGCAAGTACACGTCTAATCTGTCAGTGTGTTTTGGTGGACTCTGCCCAGTTCAGAGACAGATCAAATCTGATATAATTGCTCTGTGTTGGCTTTATGTTTTACTCTGTTTTCTGGTGTAACTCCTAAAAGGAATTGATGGTGACTTGATAAAATCTGAGTTGTGTAACTTGCGAGTTGACGTTCATCCCTAATTTCTTTATAGATTCCAGCCTGAGTAAAACTGGTAGTGTTGATATAAGCCAAGGAACAGTAGGTGAAATGTAAGTACATTTTTATTAAGCTTTTCAAAATATTTTGTTTGCAATTTTTGGGGGTAGAAAACCAACAGCAGAGTCTACTGCTTTGGCAACTGTACTATTTTCTATAGGCGTTGGTGTAGAAGGTCACAGGTTAACTCGCACCAAAACCAACTTGCACCAAAACCAACTTGCACCATACCAACTCGCACCAATGCCAACTCGCACCAAACCAACTCGCATCAAACCAACTCGCACCACCTCTAATGTATTGGGCGATTTAAGAGGCATTCAGCTTTGCAGTTAAAAGTAAACAGGTCGATACGTCTAACTATTCTAAATACCTTAACTGGAAGCAAAATTACATAAGATTTCCCACCAGGGTCGATAAAATCGACAATTTCCAATGTCAACCGAAAACATACGCCGCCATCTTGTTCTTGGCGTAAAACTAGTTCCAGTACTGTAGGTTAATTTTTCGGCCAAAAAAAGGTATTTGTGGTCGCTATATAGATGTTTTAGCTGGTTAAAATTATGAAAACTGCAGAACGCCATAAATTTGTAGGCAGGTGTCGAATCCTTGGTCTATGCGACTTTTCAGGACTGTGGGAACCGAATGAACAGCGGAAGGAGGCCAACCTACAGGACTGTTCTCGGGGCTATCGCTATATATATGATAAAACTACGTAATCCTTGTGTAAGTCGCGCATTACCAAAATTGCAGTTTCAAATACCGACGTCTGAGACGATCTACGCCAGTTATGAATGCTACACATTACCGAACCGGCAGGTTCAAATACTGACGCCTCCTACAATGGTAAAATAGCGCAATACTTGCGCAAGTCACACATTACCAAGTCGGCAGGTTCAAATGCTGACACCTTGAACAATAGTAAATCCACACCACGTTTGGTGCCGGGTTCTCTCGTACGTATTGTGGTGCCA